TCAGCATCCTGAGACAGATATCATACAGGCTCACACTGTGGGTTTGCCTCATCGTAAGTCTTATTCTTTCACTTTTCCTGTCACTTTTCTCTCTCTTAGCTGTCTTGTAAATGCCATAAGACATAAACTTCCCCAACTGCAAAAAAGTTGACAGAACAATCAGACCAAGTAACATGAACGAGAGGTGAAAAATTTAGACTTCTGATTTAAAATGTCTACAAGTAGGCCAACAAGTCAAAGCCAGATCCAGACAGTGTGACTGCACGCAGGCGTCTAAGCGCAGTAATCTGTTAGAGAGGCCTGCAGCCAGTCTCTTCTTCTTCCTCTTTCTGACCGTCCTCTCAGGCCCATGCTATCCATTAGCAAGCATTTAATCACTGCACCATTTACTGGAAACCACTGTCTGTCTGTGGTGTGGGTATGTCTACTTGTGTGTCATTTTGTAGCATTAGCAAATTCACACAATGTATTCTTAAAGTAAGCAAAACGGACTTCTTAAAAACTCATCACCATCACAGGGTGTGGGGAAAAAATCCACTTTTGTCCAAATGAACTAAGAATGAAAGACAAATCTGAAAATCTATGACAGCCATGTGGAAAATGTTGACCAGAGTTTAGCTGCATCTACACTTTACTGATGTATGTATCTCATTGAGAAGCTGACTGGACTCAATTGGGCCACATCAGGGCAGAAAAAAAATTTCACATACCTTGCCTGTGATCATGTAGCATGCAGATAGATTATCTACAGCTAGGATGTGGAACTAAAGTAAAATCTTCTTCATCGTGGTGGATTTGCTTTGCAGTTAAGTTTAAAGTTCCTTTCAGGTTGCTGCGCTGCAATTTCTCCCGACCTGGGATACATACTTCTTTACATTCCATAGTTGCTCTTGTTCATATGGGCATATAAAGAAGTATGTCCCCCAAGCAGGCCACTGTCCTTGGTGGCGCATCAGGCCTCACACCTCCTCCTCGCTGCCAGCCCAAAACGCTCGTCAATGGGGAGGGGAAAAAAAAGTGTCGAATCAGGAACTGCGCTGACCACTGAATGCATTTATGACACCCACCAGTAGCACAGGCTTCAGAGTTCACTCCTCCCATCCCAACAGAGAGAGTTCTTTTGATGCTAACATGCCAAACTTTTCTGCCTATTAGAATAAGGACCCAGCTTTTTGTTCTGACCCCGAGATGATTTAAAACTTGAATTAAAGGAGAAATCCATGCAGCTAGTTTACACTTTTTTTCGTTGAAAAGAAAACATCTACAGCTGCCACCAACAAGTCACTATCAACGCTTAAAACACTATGAGAAGACACTTGTAATAAGCCACTATGTCTGCCCACCATGTGACCGCTGAGCTTTGAAATATTGTACATTATGAAGTGATTTTTCTCAAACACACACACACATGCACACACAGCACGCAATTCACCTTGAGTGTCATACTTAGAGGTTCAGCTGCTGTGGGGTGAAGGAGGTGTGGGAGTTAGAGAATGATGGGAAATAAGGGAGATGTTGCACTTACCTACAGGCAGATGTTGGCTAGAAGCCCCCCAGCACGTACACACACACACACACACACAGAGACACACACACACACACACACACACACACACACAGACACACACACACACACACACACACAGGGCCCCACGAAAAAAGCCCCCCCCCCCCCCCCTCGTCTCTCGCTTCAGCTGGGACGATGCACCAAAGAGAAGAAGCAATAAAGCGAAAGCACAGAAGAAAAGGAGAGTAGAAGAAGAAGTGCTTCGCTCTCTCTTCCCTCAGTCTGTGTCCCAGGTGCTGCCTCTGCAGTCTGTGTGTGTGTGTTTCGCCACACACTCACTCTCTCTCTCTAACATCCTCACTCTGATTCTCTCTTTCTCTCTCGCCCTATCCTCTCTTTATAATCTCTCCCTCTTCCTCATACTGAAAACTTTTAGTCCGGTGCACAGCTGCTCGTCCCACCGGTCCTCCACCACTGACAGCAATTCCCCCCCTTTTTTTCCCTCACCTCCCATTCATCTACCCTCTCTCTCACTCTCGTTCTCTCTGTCACACACACACACACACATAAACATTGTCCCATGTAGTCTATAGGCTGCCATGCTATGCAGTCACCCCCTGACTGCCCACTCCCCCTCATATAGCATGTGCTCTCATTCCCTCTCTTTTTTTCTCTCCTGCTCCCATGCGCTCTCTCTCTCAGCCTTCTGCCTCTTTCCCCGTCAAACTATAGCGGTGCTACACTTCCATGCTGAGCAGACGGTGGTGGTGATGATGAGGTTTGAATGGCACATGTAGTGCTGCACATGGTCAAAGTGGGGACAAACCAAGGGGGAGAAGGCCGAGCGAATTAAATTAATCTCTGTATATGTCGTGTGTTAATTTGTAAATGTATATCAGTGTGCATAGACTGTGTGTGTGTATGTGTGTGTGTTCAACTGCCCTTGTTCCTCCAGTGAATCCTATTCACCTGAAGTCCCTTCCCACAAACACAAACACAATCACAATCACAGACACACAAACACATACACCCTACCTGCTGGCACACACTGTCTGCCCTCTCCTATTAGCCTCAGCCCCGAACTCCAACCAACCTACCAGCCAACCAACCAACCAACCAACCACCCGATCTCCCTCTGGTACACACATATAAATACACACATCCCCCATCTCCTTCCCTTCCCCCCTCCCCATCCTCTCAGAGATCAATACCAATTTATAGGCAAATGCACAAAGGCTGAGTCGCGCTTTTAATGAATTGAACCATTGCTAACGTCAGACATCTAATGAAGGCTCTGAGAGAGGCGTTAAGAAAACCTATGGCGGGACCAGCAGAAAGCGTGTAAGGGTTATTGGGAGAGTGTGTGTGTGTGTTTGTTTGCAGAACTGTAGGTTTTTGGATCTCAAGTTTTACTCTAATTTCCAGTCAAGATCCCCATTAAGGTATTTAACTAATATAAGACAAGTTAGAGGATAAAATGAGCATGTTCTTCATCCACAAAACACTAATGCAAAAAAAAAAAAAACTATTAGTAATAGAAAAGAAAGAAAAATGGGGCATGCACTGCTTCTGCTAATCTGCAATGTCAGGAAGTCTCTCTTTGTCTTTGTTCTGTCAAACTTTCAGCTTGAAGGACAATTAAAGCTAATAAAATCTCCATGAAACCGTGCATTAAAGCATACTGTTGACACAGCACAAAGTTCTCCCCAATATTCTATTTGCTAACATACAAGGAACAAAAGACACATTCCCCTATATAAGAGTCCTTCCACAGTGAAGTGGAAAATGGATATTTTGTAAAAGCTTCTACGTGCATACATTTTCCACTTGTGTTTGGGCCTAACCACTCACACATTGTATATTGCTTTTCCATGCTACATAATCTGACTCTCATGTCTTGTCCTGCACTTTGAACACACAAATTGCCTGAGTGTATCAACTGCAAATGCAGAAGCTAGTATGTCATCTTCTCTATAGCCGCCCCAGTAGCCCTTTTGTGTGTTCCTACCACTGTGTAACCAGTGCCATGGGGGCTGCACACATCAGCCCTGCCCGCCCAGTAATTAAACTAAAAGTCTCTTCCATAAATCACAGTCGTCTTCTTCTTTTCTCCTCTCTCGTTCCTATCCTATTTTCTCTCCCAGGGATGGAACGAAAGTTTTGTAAATTATCAGCTATGGCTGGTAAATGAGAGGGGCTATGCACACTACAAATCCAGCTCTAGACACAGATACATTAAGAAGAATTAAGCCATCTGTCTAGCCTCTTTGCCATCATAGTCACAATATTCCTGGCGGGAATTCCAATTCTCCGGGGAGAAGTAGCCAGTTCCTGCAGATTGCAAGAGCTGCTCAGCATGTAATGTGCACCCTTGCTCCACTACAATACATAGTTGGGAATGTACCATCAGACAGGACTTCTTTAGAACAAGGTAAAGTACTAAAATGTTTTCTCATACATGCAAATGAAATTGAAACAAATATAAACCTCTTCATTCTTGTACCCTCTCAACATTTAGAGTCCCTATGGTTAAGCTAACACAGTTTCACACAGGCTCCTTTTCATACCAAGTGGAGGATAGACACATTCCCTTCAGTCAGCTGTGTCTGCTAAAGCACGTAAAGCTATGGAAGTGCTCTCTTACAGGGATGGGCAAAGATACCCGACACTTTGCCACCTCCTGTCAGTGCTCTGGATACTTGACAGACAGCTGACTACTGCTGATCTCCATGGTATCTGCTAACTGGGTAAAATTAGCCTGGACAACGGCAACAGAGAGAGAAGGAGAGACACTGGAAGAGAAGTAGGGGGAATGATAGAGAAGGATGGGAGCATATGCAGGACACTTTTAGAACTCTGCTCTTACTTTAAACTTCTCTCGCTCCTTCTCTCTGGAGAGTGACACATGTGTGTGCCCCGTCTATAGATAGAGCTGAGGCCCCGTTTGGACGGCTGTCCCAACACAATGATGCAACTGATAGAATTCACTTGTGCTGCACCATGTACTTTAAACTTGCTGTACATTGTGTAAATTCATATTCCATAAAGAGAGACTGTGTCATTTCCACCATTTCCAGTTTTCATTCTAAGGAGTTTTCACTGAGTGTGAAATACTTGCTTCATCTGTCCAGAATGTTGAGCCTCAGAGATAACCCTTGACCTTTCAACCCTGTCCAACATGCAGCATGTTGTAACACTTTCCCTGCTACCACCAATCAAAAAAACAGCGGCGCAACAAATAAATAAGAAGACTGTTTCCAGCTCGCTCACTCACATTTGGAATTTTTTTCTTTCAAACCAGCAGCTAAAAAACAAAATTAAAATAACAAAACTAAATACTGTACTCTGTGAGAAGGTGGACAAAACAATGGTACACATACAGAAACACACAATATATGCAGTGTGTAAGCACTATGAAAACAAAGAAAGCAAAATTTTAAAAACACTTATACTACAAATCTCTAAACACACACTGAGGCACTTCAACACCTACCGTAGTAAAGGTGATCCAGATGGGGATGGTGGCCCATGCGGAGTGAAGCAGTCGCTGCAGGCGGAGTCTCGCCTCCCTGGGAGCTGAATCAGCGATGGAGAGTTTAAGGATGCGGAGAGGAAAAGGGGAGGAGGAGGAGGAGGAGGAGGAGAAGGAAAGAAGGAGTGAAAGGAGAGGAGAGGAGAGAAAAGAAGAAGAGGGTCATGGGACTTGTGTCTATCTCTCTCTCTCTCATTGCTGGATGCAAAAGGAGGAGGGGAAAAACAGGCAGACCAAGAATAAAAAAAAGACATGCATGTAGAATTGAGAGTAAAAATAGTGGCCATAAAAGAAAACCATAGAGGTTTGTGTAAGAGGATTCGATTTTGAAGTGATGACTGGGCAGTGAAATGCGTCAGCCGGCAGCTGCCCGTCCTTGCGCACCACACCAGGCCATGTAAAGTTAGAAGGAAGACAGCTGATCAGACTACCAGAGAAGGAGATGGAGAGAGATAGTGAGTGCTGACAGAGCTGAAGGACAAATCGGGAAGAGGGACAGGGAGAGGGAGGGGTTGGGAGAGCGAAAGAGCGGGAGTAAAGAGAGGCAGTGGGCAAGGAAAAGAGGGAAAATAACGTAAAGAGTAAAATGAAATAGAGAAGAATGAAGGAAGGATTTGGAAGGTAGAAAGGAAAAGGCAGGAAAATGAAAGACAGGAAGGAAATGCAGAAATGCAGAGGTATAATGTTTGGAAGAGGAAAAAAACAGAAAAATAAAAAAGAGCAGTTGAAGGGGGAGCTTTTAAAAAGTAAACTTAATTATTTCTTACTCTTTTCTGTCTTTCTTGTCCTTTTGCTCCCATATTCCACTCAGTCACTTTCCAGATATGTCGTCCAGAGGTTGGTAAAGGCAATTCCTCCGCAGAAAAAAAAGAAGATGAAGGAATGACTACAAAAAAAGAAACAATAACAAAAAAAAAAAAACCAAAATAAAAAAACACTTAGATATCAAATTCTTAAAGTAAAGTAAAAAAGAGTTTTTAATGATAAAAGGTCATCTGATACCGCTTATGAGCAGTGATTTGTACGTTGATTTTTTTTTTCAATATGGGTGTCAAAAATAGTCGAAAGAACATTAGAATGAGAACACTGTGAGTGAGGGAAAAGCAGCGTAATCAGAGGAAACCCCCACTGTCCCACGATTTTTATACCAAGGTAAGAACCAGAGACACACACCCCTCTGTCAGCCCACCCGTGTAGGCAAGATCCACGGCCTTATTTAGAGAAGCATGGCAAAAAATAGCCTCCCAAGTGTTGCTTTGAGGTGTCAGGGGTGGGGTGGGAGTGTCTGTGTAGAGAGGGTGGGTGGGAGAATAGGAGTGACAAGATGGGAAAGACTTGGAGATGAGAAAGGTTGGGTCAGTGGAGGTGGTGATGTAGCCGCTTTTAATCATTCTATCTGCTATTTGACTAGTGTGGCCTGAGCTTGATTTACTCACCAATCTTCTCTTGTTTTCACCGGTGTCATGTGACCGTCCTACAGCTTCCTCTGCTCAGAATGCATCATCTGCTGTACTTACAGATTACCATCCCTCTCCAGTGTTTCCTCTGTAAGTGATCATTACATTACCACCAGCATTGGTGGTAATATAATGTTGTAATGGATTTTTTTGGTATTTGCTCCATGTTATATCTATTTGTTGCTAAAAATCTGCACTCCACTATTTGCATATATGAAGTAAATGCAGTCAAATCTGTAAGTATTTGGACAGTTTCTCAGTTTTTATGAATTTTCCTCTGTACGATAGAACAATGCATTTTGATCCAAACAGTCAAGACATGATTGAAGTGCAAACTTTCAGCTTTATTTATTCAGTCATAATTGGTGACAGCCTCAACTTTGACTTTATAACACCAACCTTAACTCTTCTGAAGAGGCTCAAAAATGACTTTTAAAAATGTGTTATATTTAGCTTTCCACATGTTATAAAAATGTGGAAAGTTAAAAATTTTCTTTATTTATCTAACGACTGCCAAAACCTCGGAGAACAATTTTAAAAAGTAGCACAGAGTTGGGGTTAAGGTCGTCACCAATTATGACTTAGGCCAGTGGGAAACCTTTGTAGAGCCTATGACGTAACCTAGTGGTCAATGTCATTTTCCACAATTATGCTTGTGTATGGTTACATGTTAATTACCACGTGGTCATGTCCTGCGGTTACAGACAGTGTCAGCTGGAAAAAAAATTCAGTGCCAGGACTTTTTTCCCTCTTGGGTCCCCGCTCTTTGTTCTGGTCCTTATTTTTTTTTTGGAGGCAAACATTTGCTTAGGTTTCCATTCCTTTGTTCTTCATGTCCATTCTGGCAGTTTCCGTAATGTCCCTGTAGTTATATTGATGATTGTTATTCTGTCAATGATAAATTCAAAAACTGCAGTGAAAAAGTAGCCGGAAGTGCACAGGAGGAATCAAGGGTGCTGAACAAGGCCAATCACAATATTTGAGTTACATTTCTCGGGAGGTGCACGTCTGGACTGAAAGCTTGCAATAAAGCTTGAAGAGCATCTCAGCAGACAAATTGCAGTATTTGGTAATGTCTATGAGGAGACAAAGGGCTTACATGCAAGTATAAAAAACAAATATACTAAATTTATAATTTTGTAAACTGGACAATTACTTTTGAGTCTCTGAAAATAGGGGACTATGTATAAAAATGGCTGTAATTCATAAAGAGTTAATGTCAGTACATGCACTGTCTTTATAGGCTTGCCCTTTAAAGTTGACAAGCTTTAATACTGGCACAATAGAAAAAACCTTCTTAAGCCTGAGGTCCCCTATATTCATCCCCTTGTCACCACCGCCCTGCTGAATCTCCCTGCTGTATTTTTAGAGCTGCCAAATAAAGATGCACGGGGCCCTCCACTGACAAACCGGAAACCAACTATCACACACACACATCCTCTCCCCGAATTACCAAGCTGTAGTCACAGCACCCAACCCCAGTCCTGCTTGGGACTGCATCACATTTGGCGACACCATGGGGTGGTGCTATATATGTATGGACCCTAAAAAATTAAGAGAGAGAAGGGACCCACATATAGACAAGCAGGGTTAGAGGTGTTCACTCTGTGAGTCTCTGATCCAACAAACAGTCTCACGGGAGACAAATGTATCTGTGAAGGAAGCAGCCAAGAGACATGGCAAGATGGAGAGAGAGAAAGAGAGCGAATGAGGGGGCCTGGGAATTGAGAGGACAGGAGAAAGGGAGGAGAGATGGGGAAAGAAAGGATATTGATTTCCACCTTAAAGAGGCAATCTCCGCTTCTCAGGAGCTCCAGGGAGTAAGCGTGTATCTGTGCCTGTATTTGTGTGTGCGTGTGCGTATGATCTGTCCTGGGATCGCAGACTGAAGACACGGGTGCACACAAGCGTGCACACACACACACACACACATAAATACACAATTTGGAATGTTAACAATGTTTAGAAAAAATGAGACAAAGCGCAGAGCAAAAGAGAAAATAACACCTTTAAACTAGTCATTTTGTGCCCTGCCTCCTTCAAAGGCATCCCACTGCTCTAATTAGTTTTATTAGCTGCAATCTTTTTCCTCTTTTGAATTTTTATGAGTTTTATGTTGTCTTTTTATTTCACACCTTCTTCTCAACAGTTTTTCTTTTTTTAAACTTTCATCAAAAACATTAAGTAAAGGATTTTTCAGTGACTGCTTACTGAATGCTGAAGATTCAAACTACACTAAGACTACATCAGAGTCACATTTTTACTAATTGTAAACACTTTTACATTTTTACTGCATCCGTTTTAGACTGTAGTGCCAATATCAGTAAACAAGCTTTTTTCCCCTCAGAAATAGGTATATAATAAAATATAATAGCACATTTGTACATTCTTTGAACTACAATATGTAAAATGAGTGGCAGCTTTTCATCTTTCAGACATTGTTGGTTTTTACATTAATGACCCTTATATCTTTGGGCAGACACCAGAGACTACAGACTTTAGAGAAAGACCTGTCATGATCCTGGGCCATGTTGGCCCAGCAGTCTTAGTATTCATGCATTTTTGTATTTTGTTCCTTATTTGATTTCCCCTTGTGACTTTTATCCCCTGTGTGCCCCTCTATGTAACTGTGAGCCCTCGTCTCCCCTCCTTGTGTTTCATTCCATGTTTCCCCAGCCCACTATGCCCGTGCTCTCTCTCTCTCTCCTCCTGTCTGCACCTCTGTGTACTTCCTGTTTTACTTTGACAGTCTCCCGTCAGTGTGGTTTACTCCTGCCATGTCTCGTTATGTTTATCTGTGTCAGCTGTGTTCCCCGTGTGCTTCTACTTCCCTCGTTAACCCTCTGTGTATTTATGTGCATGTCTCCCTCAGTTCGGTGTCGCGTCGTCAATGTCTCCTCCCCGAACCTGTGTGTTTTTCTTTGTTCCCTCGGTCTTCTGTTAGTATTCCCAGTTTAGTTCTGTTTCGTTGTAAGGCCTGCAATAAAGCAGTGATTTTGAGTTCAGTTCCTGTCTCTGTGAGTTTTGCGTTTGGGTCCTCATCTGCCTCCACACAGCCAGTTCATGACAAGACCAACATTACACACAACTCACAACTAATATGTTATGGCGTTATTTTTGTGCCACTATTCTGAGCGCACGTAAAAAAAAAATTGCAGGTGCAAGTGTTGCATTTTGGGGAGAAATTTATTTTGAGCAAAGAAAAGCTAAATTTGAGTGAACAAAATTCATTGCTGCGTGCAAAAAATGTATTTCAGTGTTTGCTATTATCCACACACACACACACACACACACACAC